CAAAAACATTAATTAGCGCTTGAAACCTTAATATTTTTTACACGTTTTGGGTTTAGAACCGAAATTGTCTTTTTGGTTATTAAATCCATTTGTGATATCCCATTTGTAGAGTTATTTATTAAACTCAATGTAAGAGAATTTGGTCTTAATTACAATCAAATAAATTATTAATATAAAATTATGATACTTTCGTTCCTAATAGCAAAAAGCACTATAAAGTATCAAAGAAATATATATGATTATTTTTAGAATTTTAGATTATTTGAAGATTAATTTAAAGCTATCAACAATACTAAGTTGGTTAAATCGGAACTGGCTGTGCCCGCGACTTCGTCCGCGTGGAATAGTGACTTGGGATAGAATTTTTAATAATTTAGGCTGTGTATTAATTTATGTAAGGGCGCATTTAATGCAACCTACACAGATATTATAGAGCCTGAGCTCTAAAATATCAGTGTACCAAATTTCATTTAAATCAGGTCAATAGTTTCGGAGTTAAAGCGGGACAGACATACAGAGTTACTTTCGCATTTATAATATTAGATATAGCATAGATAATATTATGTCAGTCATTTAGAATTTTTATTTGTTTTCGACGATTCGCCACAACGAGTAGACACAGACAGGGTACATATTGTAGAGGTTGGCCACTTTACCTTCCACCAACCTTCAACGTGTATACTAAGCATATTTATTGTAATTTTATTTTAACCTGCGTAGTTGGACTAAACTTCTTACTTACAGTAAAGTATGTACTTCACTCAGGAAAATAACTTCGTTCTCAGGCATCAAGTAAATAGGAAATTCATGTACCCACTCCTGCCTCGTCCGGTTTCTTTTTGTTGCCTCAATTTCCCAGCCATTTCCAAAACCTCAGAGAATTCACGATTTCCGCTTTTCCGAACAATGAAAATAGACGAATAAGCCGACTTTTCCCTCTGTTTCGAAATTCGGTGCACTTCAAAGGATTCTTCGAAAGGCTTTAGCTACAAAAAGCACTTACCTAACGCAGGCTTCCGTTTCATTAACAGATCGACAGGTCGAACATTATTAACCTATAGCTAATTCAATATGTTTTTACATACAACATTGTTTCATAATACAGCCAATATTTAGCTATTTTAAATTTAATGCAAATAAGTCATGTTAATCTTGTTGAATATAGTGTACACATCAACAACGATTTCTGGTAGTGTAGGTTAATATTTTTGCAAAAAAAATTAAATAAACAACTATAACAATGACAAAACGCAAACTACTTAACTACATAATTTTCATCTATCACTAAAAATGTTTTTTTTTATATATATGCCAGTCGCGTAAACTACTGTAATCTACATAATGTCAAGCTAAATAAATTTAATTATTACTTCCCCACGTTTAATTGTACTCATTGAACAATTATATAATTAAAAATAATAATCCCTAAAATTACAATTTCACGGCAACACAAAGGATGGCTTCGTGGTCTACACTATGTGGTTAGAACAAATTTAATTTCCGTCAACCTCAAGTACGATGGTTCAAATGCCATATAAGTTGGATTGTCAGATTAATTAATTTTCATTTGTATAACCACTGTGAGTTATAATTAAAATGTTCAACGCTTATGTTACGGCTAAATATGTAAATATGAATATAAGCCACACAGCGAGATTCTCAACAAAAGTGTCAGACAATGTGAAACCCAATTTTAACTTGTGTTGTAGAAAATATGAAGTTTCCTAGCTTAAAACTTTGTTCAACGAATTTCGCTTTTCAAAAAATTCAATAAACTATGGCTGAATATTGAAGATATCTGCTATGCTGGATATTATAATGACCTGTTTTGTTAATGATTTTATTATATTAATAAAAAATATTAATAAAGAATATATTACATTTTAAAATGATATGAAAATAAAAAAAACATTTAGTTTCATACTTTAGTACTTAGTTGTTTACAACAGTGTAATATATTTCCAAGTATTCCTATGTGGAGCTTGTAATGTTTTATTGACAATTATTATAGAGATTAAAAATAGTAAATAAATTTCATGTCAGCGTTTCGTGCTGTTGCTCGAAAAAAAATTATAGACATAAAGCAGTACATTTAACCATTAACCAACAATGTAAATTCAACAAGCCATTGTTCAGTGGTAAACGTTCAAAGTTTCTCCATAACGTTACTAACACTTTTCATTAAAATACACATTTCAAAGTGTCTACGAAAATGATAGTTGTTTGAATTGGGTCACACGCGGGCAAAATTGGCTCAACACTTTTCCCCATAAATCCGAGGTTATTTCCGTTAAATCCTAAAAATATTCTCACGAGCGGGGTGAAGATGTTTCTATTTATTGCCTTGAAATAATGTAGCATTGTGCAAAGAATTGTTATTGCACGAGTAAAGTGGAATAGATAAAAGCTAGTAGACAATGATTTACTCCTTTTGTGATTTTAAAAGGCTTACAAATGTTTTGGAATAGTATAAAAGTTTACTATTTTTTTGAAGGAAATAAAATAAATGGAGAAGATACATTGGATAGTAGGAAAAGTAACAGTTTAACATTTTTATATTTAAATAAAACTCTTGAACGGTTTAAAACGCGATATATTTTGGTTAAACTTATTTGAAAATTATTTCTAACTACGGCCCGACGTTTTGAATCCTTTGCAGTAGCCGTGGTCATGGTGAGATATCTATACTTATCAAACAAGTCTAACTAAAATTTATCGCGTTTTAAACCGTTAATGTTTTAAGTGTTTATATTTAGGTGAGAATCTTTACTAATCAAACGCGTTAATAACTAAAATTAAAACGAAAGCAAACCACCAACAAACAAATAAATATCTGTTAGTTACTTATGACTATTGAATATATATAATAGCATATTTAAAATTAATATCGAATTGATTAAATTAAAACGCTTTAAGAATATATCGATAAATAGTTAGTAAAAATTATTACATAACGCAAATTTTGCGTAGAAAAACATATTTTGAATCTAGCTTCTCTTGAAGTAAATATATCTCACATCGCATTATACGATAATATTTAAAACAAACTAAGCACTAATTTATATAATCAAACACAAAATGTCGTATAGTTGAAATGTCCGGTAATAACTATAAGAATTCTATTCATTTATAGCCTGAGTATTGAGTAATAAAATGGTATAGGAAAACCATTACATGCTTCAGCCGTAGACTGAAGGAATGCGTTGAGGTCTAGCGTAATGACTTCAGGAATATGGAAGGAATTCTGTTTTATCGACGAAGTTTGTACGTTGGTTTGACATTTGGAAGTTTTCTCACTGTAATAATTCAAAACATGCACGACGAAAATGTAATGTTTAATATATTTGTCAAAGTAGAGTGTTATAAATTAAAAATCGATTTTAGATTGAAAAATAAATAAGGACAAGAGAAGAACTTGAACCAGTTCCGCACTACTACCTACCATGTCCCACACGTCATGATATTTTAACTAATGTGCCACTCGCGCAATCTAACAGAGTTTCAAAGGCAAAAAAAGAGAAAGTTGATCACATAAATAAAACATCGTAACGGTTCAAAAAGCGATATAATATATTAGATAAATTTATTCGAAAATTATTTTAACAAAGACCCGACGTTTTGGATGCTTTGCCGCATTATGCCGTGATCACGACTGCTGTTTTGCAAGTTTATCTCATATATATCGCGTTTTAAACCGTTAAAGTGTTTTATTTAAATGTAAACTGCAGACAATATGTTATGTAATTTTCTCACTTAAATACTTTGTGATAAGAGGAGGATAATTATTAGTATTAAAGCATCATAACGCGTTACAATAACTCGTATCCCCTTGAAGACTTTTCACCAGCGAAATCTCTTTATATATTTCTGCCTAACTAACATTACTACTCGAATTGATTGATCTGAAAGTTAATAATCAGTTACACAAAGGTATTATGAATGCATAAAAGGAATTGACACCGTACTTCAATTCAATGTATGAGTAACAGGATATTTGCAAAGTAAATATTTATTAGAAGTGTTTGATTTGGCGTAACTTTGGTGCGGGTCTCACACTTTACCTATTTTATTTGCTTAATAAGGGCACGGTATAAATATTTAAAAGGCGTTTATAGCAAACTTGTTATGTAATGTGCACGTTTTTAAAATATATGTTACGTAGTTAAAACTTTTTGACGGTTCTTTTTCGGCGGGGTCGTGGTCGTAGTCGATCCCCACCGGGTGCAACATGTTTATAATTTAAATAAAACACTTTAACGGCTTAAAACGCGATATATTAGTTAAAAATCATTTTCAAATAAGTTTAACTAATATATCGCGTATTAAAGCGTTAAAGTGTTTTATTTAAATGTGTACTACTCGCGTAAACTGTAGACAGTGTGTTTCCAATTTTCTGAAACATATTTGACTTCGTTTTGGAATTTGGATATTAAAGGAGCAAATATCGAAATTCCATCCGGGTCCACAGATAAAGACGCCATGAAATTTAATCGCGATTAGGTTTCAGTCTGTGGATTTCCGAATATGTAAAGTTAAAATAGATCGACAGCGAATCTTAACTAAACACGATCTATGCTATAATATATATATATTCAATTGATATTGAAGGAAAATCGTTCTTTTATTATTATCACATTTTCGTATAGTTAAAGAAACTTTTGTTTATCATTTAAAAACAAATTAGGAAGAAAATATATTCTGATCAGATTTTTTTATTATTCAGAGATCTGATTACATTATACAAGAAGATAAACTGATTGACGCAAGCAGGGCTTGTAATTATAACTAAAGGTGCCGTTGCATATTAGATTTGTCGAATTTTCATTGCAACATATGAATGTTAATAGTATCTATAACAATTAACAATCGATTTTAGATTGGAAATGTTTTACGACCGGCATCCACTGTTGCTCTAACTAATTCAATAAAGTAATTACAATCCATGATTTTTTACAGGTTTTTCAACGATGAGTCTACTAATACCAACCTCCTGAAGCATCATGACGTGCCCCTTTCGTCGCGCTGCATCCCAGCATCAGTTCGCCAATGGATCTGGGAGCAGGAAGCCCGAATTCCGATCGAGACAGTCATCCGTACATCTCCCAGGTCCTGAAGAAGATGATGCGGAGAACAACACCCTCACTTTGAAGAATTTAAGCGAAGCTCTTAAGTTGCTAACAGCGCCATCTGTAAGTAATATTCGACGTATAAAAATCATTCCCTAATTCTCATGCTTGGTGTATATTAGATGTATAAAGATTGTTTGAGCTTCTATAAAATTAGTTTATTTGTTTTTACGTAAAGACATACACACATCTCACATAATGATTTGATATAGTAATTACTACATCGTATAAAATAAGTTCGCTATCTCTATGTGGCTTTAATCTTTAAAACTACGCAACAGATTTTGATGTGTTTTTTTTTTAAATAGATAGATTGATTCAAGAAGAAGGTTTTAAGATACAACGTGCAGAGTTTTTCTGTAGTGTATTTAGAATCAGCATTGCACCCGAGCGAAGACGGGGCGGGTCGCTAGTAATATATAATATAGGTTCACTAATTTCCAAAACTGTAAAAGTGAAATCCGTTACTCGTCGTGAGGCATGGGGCGTCATTTCATTGTTCGTTTCACTGCTCCAATCTCATTACAGACCGAAACTATCAATGGTTGCCTCGAGATTCGAACCCCGTACCTCTCGGGTAGGTATAACGCAATGCTCGGCAACGCGTTTGTTTTAGCTACAGAGGCGGTTAAAAAAGTTACCACAAATACAGCGCTGTTATTTAAGATTTATTGCTTATAAGTAACTATACATTTTTTTAAACGCTATTTTCATTTACAAGATAATAAACTAATAACCAATGTTTTAAAATTATAACAAAAAAAATTCATAAGAATTTCCCAAAAATTATCTCTGGAATTACCAGCGTAATATTTAAAAATAGAAGTATCGAAAATATCTTTTCCTTTGTTAAAAGATACTTAGCGATTCTACAATCGCTAAGTACCCGGCTTTGGCCCTGCCCACTCCGCCCCTATTTCACATAATTATCACTTTGAAGTATTTGTTTGGACATTTTTTATACCGATTAAGTATCAAAGCGAAGACTTTTTTGATCTACCGCTGTTTATTAATTAAAGGTCTTAAGTTAACTGAATAGTGCTTCCCGTATTTACTAGATTAAAGGTGACTTTGAATTAAAATTTTTATTAAGTTTAAGATCACGTTGTATGATCACGAACTTCAACACGGTTACAATTATTCCACTCATTTCGGATTTCACTTGCTAAGCGCAATCCGTGGTAAGATAATTATTTACTTATAAAAGTAAATAAAAACATGGTACAACTTATCGTGGTGTTTGGGGCCACAAAAGATTTGAAAGTTCTACGATATTTCAATAACGACATAACGTTTTTATTTTAATTATTGTTTTAACAGATGTAACAAGCAAGACACACTTTTGTGTCTGTTTCTCAATTTTATTTACACGCAAGTTAGAATAAGGCACTTTCAACGGTTTAAAATGCGACATCTATTAGTAAACCTTCCTAAGTGTTAGTTAGTTAGTTACGCCGTGTTTACCTTGTAACCTTTTTATTTCTTAAAATAAATTGTAAATTTCTAAGTTAATTTGAAAAGAATTCAAAAGAAGTGATCTGGGAACTTGTTTGAGAAATAAATTCTTTAAACCTTAAACCTTAAACTTATTCACATGTGTACTACTCGCAACAACTACACAAAACTCTACGTATCGTCCGATCGAAATTATCTATTATTTCTTATTAGTACCCAAAAATGTTTGACAAAGAGAGAGAGAAAAAACAACAAATGGATAGAGATTAACTTAATTATTAGAATAACATTTTACAAAAATTCTACTTGTTGTCTAACCTTTGTCCTACAATGGGCCTCCTTAGTTTAAACTTCTTTTATAGTACATATATTATGAAGTAAGTACCTTTCAGGTCTAGGCGTCTTCAATATTTATTAAATGTCTAATGATTCAAGGAAGACCGAATACTCTTGAATTCATAGTATTATATTAACATCAGAACAATAGTACATTAAATATTTTACGATTTCTAATCAATGATCCATTCATAAATCAAGCATACCTTTTGTAAATTTAATAGAGTATTGATGCGTACCTGCCTAAATTAAGTGCTCATAAAGTGTCTAATATGTTGGATGAGATAATGCAATACAGAGATAAAAACTTCATTATTATCAAAATGTTACAGCACCTGATTGCATTATATAAAAATAAAAAATCGTGCATTTCATCTTCAATGATTTCTTAAGCTGTAAATCATAGGAGAATAAACCTCAATACATTCGTTTCAAGGTTAAATTTGAATTTTATTATAGCTTTTCGTGTTATTAACATCATATTTTTTAAAGAATAATTTTATTAAATTAATTATAATAAATGGTTAATATTAAAAACACGTGCTTTTGTAAATTGCCCTGGTAATTTCTACTCTTATATTGTGAGATAAAGAGGTTGGAAAAGATGGCTAAAAAGATTTATCTACTATAATATTTCAAATCCTTATACTGTTGTCACTCTACATTAATGTAATTATTTACATTAATGTAGAATGAGTATCTTACTATTAACCTAAAATTGTTTTACTACTTTTACAGAAGTAGTAGTAACGCTGTGATCGTAGGTTCAAGCCCCGCCCATGTCAGTATTTATTTACGTGTAAAGTTTAATTAACATTTTGAAACATATTATAATACATGTGAAAAATAACACTGAGTTTCATAATGACTTAATGATTTTTTTTAGGGATTTTGGGGGTCTCTTTTTTTTTGGAGCTTTTTCTTCTTTAGAGGAGTCAGGATAATATAAAAATAATCATGATACCATATGACCCATCTCATGTCAGTCTAATGGTAATAATTATAGAAGATAAAACAAAGCTATTATAGAGAGATATAACAATAATAGGACATACAAGATTTCTAGGTCCCAAATTGCTTACGTGACATGAAGATACATGCGTTAGCCCCTCGGGATTTACGTTATCTAGATATATAGACCTTAAATTGAATACTTGCAGACTATTGGGAGTGGCGGCGAGTTTCTTGCCAGTAGTCCTCGTTTACTCTACGCCCTTGCTTTGAGAACTGGTAGCAGATGGTACATTCAGAATGTTTTATTTATAAATGTATTGACATTTCATAGGTACACGTATGAAATGTCACCTACTTGATAAAACCTTAAACCTTAATAAAACTCTTTTTAACTCGAAATATATTAGTTAAATTTTTAATTCAGTTTAACAAAACCCAACGTACCGATACTATGTATTCTTTAAATTAAACCACTCGAGTACTAGACAGTCTAGTTTTAATAAATTGCTAAACAGATGTGATATCAACTCATAGAACATATAAATTAACTAATAATGGCTACACCGATGTTCTCACAGAGTGGCTATTTAGGTGTGGCATAGAATTTCAGCGTGTTTATCGCGTTTAATTGAGGACATTTGTGTGGCTCCGTAATCATTCGAAATTCAACGGCGACCGCAAAGTGCATGAATCTACCTCTTGATGCACTCGATTTCGTGCTTCACGTAATTCAGGAATTCTCGGAATACGCCAAATGGACTGAAATATATTCAAATGTTTGTAGAGACGGTGTGACGTAGCTACTTTGGTTGAATGTAATATTAATATTATTTTATTGATGTTTGGTTGCCCATTTTAATTTTTACGTATCGATTTTCTTGCTTTATACTTTTTTATGACAGACTTCGAAAACATTAATATTTTTAACAAATTGTATACATTAAAAATCGATTAGAGATTGCAAAGAATACGACACGGGCAGGACTTAACTCGGCATCCATAGCGTTCCGTACTGTTGCTCTAACCAATTGAGCTACGGTGTCCTACACCTCATCGATTTCTACAACCTATTGATACATGCACTTCTCGCGCCGAATTTCGACCTTAACACTTGCGTTTTAACGTGTAATGTGCTTTGCATCTTAACGGTAAGTGTTTGCATCTTAAAAATCACGTGTTTGTCTAACAGTAAGTTCGTTAATTGTAAGTAAGACCATATAACATAGAATTAATAATAATGTCATTAATTAAAAAGTGATGTTGTTATATTCGATTTTATTGTAATGTACCTTTTTGAAAATAATATTCTGTTTTTATATTGACTGATATTTTTATAAGACGAGAAGTCCTACAGTAAAATATTACAATATATTAGGTAAATGTAATGCTATATACTAAGTAAAAGTAATGTGAGTGACTTCCAAAAGAAGAAAAATCTCGTTGGGAACCAGAAAAGGTAATAATTTGAAATGTGTGACCAATTAAGTAACCGTATTATATGCAAACTATGTATGTTAATTGAAAGGGTCTTTGATATGATCGAGGTGTCCCTAAATGTAATTTGTAGGTATTCAGAAAGGTATTTTACCTTATTATGTACATTACGAGCGCAAGTCTTTAGTACCTGTCTGTGTATAAATAGGGTTTAAATATAGGCCTTCGGCGAGTAGTACGGTATTTAACGGCTTGAAATGCAAATTATATTTGTTAAATTAATTTTGAACCCTATGTTTCACCGTATTTTTTTTCACTTACATATTTGACACGAAATCCAAAATAGATCGTCAGCGCGTATTGTTTAGATTATATAGCTGTGGTATTTCCCCTCCCATGAAGTAAACCCTATGTTTGTCTTTCCCCCTCTATATAAAAAATGTATGTTAAATGTTGAAATCTATTCAATTTTAATCTATCCATTATATATCTCTTTGTAAAGGACAGCTAACGAATAATAGAACGACCGTATATTACACGTAATGGTAAAACGTAGAAAACGTAGTATTTTCATCGAAACGCATTACTTAACATAACACTAAATATGTCTGCCTCATGGAGGGCATGGGGAAAACAGAATTTCATACACTAAATGTCTTGCTAAACAAGTATGAACGCTAAAAGTGACGAAACTGTCCACTTCGACACGATACAAGCCCGCGGTGACGTCAATAAAAAATAACCCCGGACGGAAACACAGTTTCTATACTTTTTTATACATCTCTTTTTCGATCTGTCATTCAAATTTAGAAATATATCACTGCATTTCAAATACAACTTTATAAATAAACTTTGTACTTTCACTTTTTACTTTTTCTCCGTAA